ACATTATATACGCGTCGTACGATTCTTCAAGCATAGTATTGTCAACGATTGTGTATATATTTGTCCTTCTTTTCCTTCCTCCTTCGTATCGTTCTCGGTATCTCTCCGTTTCGTCGCTCGTTTCTTCCGTTACATCGTTTCTCCTGCTACTTACGTGCCATCCCGACACAGCAGCCTACAGTCTGCGGTTACTCGTGTCATTCTTTTTTTTTCTTTGGTTCTGCGCCTGTGTCGGCGTGCCGGACGCAAAAGTTCGCCATGATAGCCTGTGCTTTCGTCGAACGAAAACAACCAACACTTGACCCTATTCCATTGTACGCGCCCCTTTTCTCTTCGTTCCTCTCGGATTCAGTGCTTTTCAGAGAACAATGAATCGATTCGTGTGCAACGAGACCAATGGATATGCAATTTTCAGGAAGATGCGTCTATCGTCGAGACGTCCGTGATATATCTGAATGACCTGTGGGCATGCATTTGCGTCAATCGATAAACTAACGATGACCGTTATCGGTACATTTAACCCTTTAGGGACCATTTTCCTTCCGATTTCAAAAATATCCGAAACAAAGGAATGCATTGGCTAAAAGCTACCCCTACCATTGAACGTACACGTCTAAACATCCATGACATGCATCATATCACGTTACAGTAATCTAAGAACGATACAAACGTCAACGTTGTAACGACAGAATTCTACAAATCATACTTTAGTACCGTGATACCGATATTCTCGAATCGAATTGACAGCGAAAAGGGTCGAAAAGAAAATTACCGTTCACGCGGGTCCCGTCCAGGGTTAAAAGTTCAATGTAAAAATATTAATTCCGTTAACCGTTCCTCGTTAAATGATAATGTCTGCTGCGATAAGGTTTCCCCCTGCCCCCATTTCTTTTTTTTTGTACGATTGCGTGGCTGCGCGATTAGAACCGATGCGATTTGTGATGAATTCGAGCGAAAAATATTATGTACTTTCAAACCCGTACGTTGCGACGAACGTTTCGTCGTTCTTTCAAAACCCTCGTGGTTCGCCTAAGATATCCCCTAGCACGCGCCTGATTCATTCGGCCGCGAATGCGCTTTTGCGTCCCCGTTTCGTATCGGTACATCGGTACTGTCCTCGTTAAGAATTCCGTGGCCATGGATCGCGAACGATGCGAATTTCAGCGCATCACCGTGATGCGATCGCCGCGTCGCATGTCTTTCACTATCACACACCGACGAGACTCTTCGGACGTTTAACGAGTATAGAGAATAGAAATCGAAATGTTTTTTAAAAGAGAAAAATACTGCTGCTATTGGGATTAGTGTGATCACGTACGTTCGGTGTCGTTTGTTAATATGATTGATTCGTGTCTGTCTGTTGTAGCTATCTGTTTCTATGTATGTCTGTATGTATGTATTATGTATATCCTTGTATTAGGTGTAGATTCACACTGTATAAAGATGCGCGTGTCTGATCTTCACCGTTGAGTCTGTAAATTCACGTCAATCCTGTGTGTCTGTGTGTACGTGAAACACATTGTACGTGTGTGTCTATGTGTGTATGTGTATGTGTGTAGTGTACTTTAAGGGGTAATTATCACAGAATACACGAGATACTTTTCATTAAGCTTACGAGATATTAATCGAAGCGGAGAGTAGGAGGAAAAAATGGCGGTCAACCCCGTCTACGAGGGTGCGATTGCCGAGTGACCCGGAAATTCGACGCAGCCAGGCGTTCAACAGAAAAGGCTGTTCCCATTTCGTCGACGGGCTTGGTCTGGGCGCCGAATTCGCCGGTTCCTTTTCTTCGTAATTAGTAAGTACTTAGGCAGCGGAGAAAATAGACACTCTTACAAATGAATAATGGTGGCGAGATCGCGGACCCGTGTATCTTTCATTCATCTACCCTTCCCGTTCAACCCGGTTGTTCCATTTCATTGTTTTTTCTTATCCGTTTAACGCCGATGATGCCTACAGTTTGTTCCCTTTCGGTAAACAACGCGCGATCCGCAGGCGAGTTTGGCGAAACGCGTTCGAATTCCTAAATTAATGACTTCGAACACGTTCCACGACTTCCAACGTGGTTGTTGCGTCGGGAGTTCTTCTTGGATTTTCGAACGGCACAGATCTGGGCACTTTTAGATCTAAGGATTCATCTAACTGCGTCGAGGAGTATCGCGCTAGACGCGTTGCTTGCACAAACGAAACAAGTTAAAACCCTCGCGTCTCTACCGCTGTCCTACGAGATATTCCATGATGAAGGGCGCCGAGGAACGCATGACACTCGGAGTTACACGGTGTAAGAGAGAGAATTTCGAAAAAGTGTGAGCGTCGTACAACACGGGGGATAATCACGCAAGCAAGTAAACGAAACTTCATTACTCGCGGAAATCTTGGCGCCTGACCTGTGTCGCGTGCAGACTCACGCGTATCGGATATGGAAAACGTCTTGTCCTATCTAAGATGGCCGAACGCTCTTTTCC